CATGCCACGAAATTAAATAATTTATGTTGTATTCTCTCTAATTTTCTTGAGTTATTCTCATATATTGGTGACCACACAGAGGAACAATACAATAGAATAGGTGTAACTAACGTTAAGTATAAAGTTTTAAATGAAATTGGGTTTATGAAATTCGTAGTCATTCTTCTAATCCGAACTGTGTCTGTGTCCACACCCCGAGTCTGTGTGTTACTTGCACCTGATGACGCCACACTACATTATCACAGATCACACCTTTGACATCACAGTATTACAAAACGATCTGGGTGTACTAATTTCTCATTATCTGAAATGGGAATGTCAAGTTGCAGCAGTGGCCAGGCGAGCAAACCGTACTCTGTATATGAGAAAGGCATTATCCAAATTACACAGCCCTACAGTTGGGAAAATTTACACGACATAGTTCGACCCATATTGGAGTATGCTTATATAGTTTGGTCTACATATTATAAAAAAGACAAACAACATCTGGAAAAAATACAAAAACGAGTAACTAAGATACCAATAGAAAATCGCCTAAATTCCAATTACCAGGAAAGATGTCAGAAGTTGTCACTCGAACAGAGAAGAACTAGAACCGATCTTGTAGAAGCAAAATTTTGAATGGACTATACAAAATCCCATGACATGAATCCCTCTTTACAAGATCTACTGATGATAGACTATGGGGACAAAAGATGAAATTGAGGAAAGAGAAAACAAAGACTGGACAAAGAGCACATTTTATCACCAATAGAATAGTCAACATGTGGAATAAACTACAAGCAGAATGCATCAAAGAGGAATCTCTGAGTGCGTTTAAAAATAACTTGGATAAATTGATTTATAAATAGTATACGGATAGTATATAAATAAATAAAATAGTATATAAATAGTGATAAATGATATTCTGATGTGATATAAGAGATATTTGTGATAAACTATTATGTTATATTTGATAAGATATGTCAATGAGCGATCGATTATGATTATAATGATATGTGAACTTAGTATTATACAAAATAGAAACACTATTATGCAATATGATTAGATATCTGAATAACAGTTTGTTGCTGCTACCATTATTCAATAAATAAATAATATAAAAATTAAGTATTTGTAAAACTAGTGATGCTAAAACAGTACATACTTTCTCAACATTTGTAATTGTTATGTAAAACAATTTAATCGTAAAACATTACATGCAAAAACTAGATATTATCAGGCAAATATCCACAAATTTTTAGAATTATAACTGAGTTTCATGCAGCTAAATCATGTCCCAACAAGAAGACAGAATACAAAGAACTATAACTACCATCTCGCAGGGCGGAATCCATTGTCGCATTCCAATCGAATATTTTTTGAGGCCTAGCAAATCATCATTTACATTGCATTTATCTCGTAATTTTAAGAGAAAACATAATTGAACTCACTTCAATTAAGGTTTGTGGATTGCTTGAAAGACAATACATCAAGAATGAAAATACTTTCCTTGCAACACAGACAAATAAAATTATTAAATATGTTTTAAATCATATTTAAAAGGCTAATTTGTAAATATACACCAAAAGCTCATATGTAAGAAACGAACAAAGAAATACGAAATAACATACAAATTATAACTTGCATAGCATCCAACTGCTTCCAAGAACTTGTCAAATTCTGTTCATGAAGCGCAGGAAATTTGAAATGGGTCACTGAGTTTGACGCCAAATTACACAAAATATACTTATATTTTTGAAAAGTTGAACCTGACCTTATTAGAAGATCTGATTTTGATGTATACATTTCATTAGGAATGAAAAGAAAAAACAGTTACCTTCACAACTGTAGTTGTAGCAAGGAGTCGAAAAAATTTTTAATTTTTGCAATTTTCAAAAAATCAACATCAGCTGCAGCATCGATTGGGGATACTAATTTTGAAGAAAATCAGCTGATCGGTTTAGCCGCTAGCGTTGTTCACAGGCAGGTGGCCAGACATTATGCTGTCAATTGATTTTTCAGTATCGAAAACCAACAAAACATTGATCCTAGATGCAGTACGTGATAGAGATCCCCCCCTAAATTTAGCAACTAAATTATCCACTTTTTCCCAATTAGCTTTTACACATTATACACTATTTAATACTTTCACTACTAATGACAGATTTGTGATTGATTCTAGGCTGCCAATCATGAATGACTTTGCCAATGAATTTACATTAAAATTTGTGACTTTATGTAGGCATTTTCGCACTCCACCTTAAAAATTGCACAAAGAAAGAACTAATAAGAATAAATAATAAAAAATGACAAATAATTTCTAAAACAATATGATAATTAAAATTAAATCAGAAATGTAAATAATAAATGATCACTTCTTCATTTCATTTAAACACAAAATTAGCAATTTCATTAAGGCAATTTACAACTAAATATTTTTTAGAAATTGATTACTTCATGAAATGATTAGCAAGGGTTTCAATTAATTAGAACTTCAAGAAAAGTAGCTTCATTTCCTGACCTCTTTTAAGAATGAAACTACTAATTTGCCCCTAGTCTTTCTTTGACCTTAATATTGTGATTAAGAAATTCAATGAACTCTCTGTTTCCCTTTTTTGACAATAGTGTTTACAGCGCAGAAACGTGTTGAACACGAAATGCATGCACACAGCACACACACGCCCTCAGCATGTATTTTTTTTCTTTCTCTCTTTCTCTGACCCTCACCACACACACACACACCCTCCACACATACATGTGCACACAAAATAAAGAAAGACAGTTGCTATTTTCTTTTTGTTAACAGGCAAGAAAAGAAAGTTGTAAGTACATAAAAAATAGTTTTTATCACTTATGTCACTGTACATATAGCAATTTTAGGGTAAATAATACAAGTTAAAACATTTTTGTATTGATTTGGGTTGTTTTTCGCATTTTACGAAGAATTCTCTTATATATAGTTGCCGAGCCACACGATTCAGTAGACAATCAAGAGTTTACTGTATTACTGAACTGAAATATCCACTAAATCCACCATTGCCAAAATCCTAAAATTTCAAACTAAATGCGCAAAGATTGGATGGGTGTAAATATATGAACTTGGTCAGTGAGTGATTACATTTTATATTGACCCAGATGGATTTTAGTTCAGTTATCATTCACAAGATCACACTTTCTCCTGGAGAGAAGCATTTAATAATGTATCTGATAACAGGATATAAAAGCCTTCCTTTCAACAATGAGCTAAATTTCGTACAGAAACAATCCTATGAATTTGTATTAGCTCGGCAAATTTCCTCTCCTGGTAGTGCATCACACATATTCTAAAAAATTACCTGAATTTCTTGTTAAATTATCCTATACCGTAATCCAGCAAACAAATATGTTGGTTGTTATTCCTATCAGTATAATCTAGAACAGAAAGTGGAGTCCTAGGTTTTTAAAAATCCCATAATTTTGAAGCTAGCCTGGGGACCAATTC